AGTGCCTTTGATTCCCTCATGGAAAGATCTGATGATGTTAAGGAGACGCGGTGGACATCCAATCTTGGGAAGTATTTTAAAAAGGCCATCCCTGCTAACCAGATCAAATGCTTTTGTAAGGTCTGTGAAGGCCACTAAGAGTGGCTGTTGTTGTTCCCTACATTTCTCCTGCAGCTGTCGGAGTGAGAATACCATGTCAGTGGTGGATCTATTAGCTCGAAATCCGCACTGTGATTCTGGATAGACTCTATCTGCAAGCACCTGGAGCCTCTTCAGCACAACACGGGCAAGCAGCTTCCCTACCACACTAAGAAGAGAGATGCCACGGGTTGGTTCGCTGTCCAGCTCTTCCAAGACAGGCAGGCACTCAATGTTATTTAATGCTTCTTCGGTTACTACATTTTCTCTGGAATATAGCTCAGAGTAGTGCTGGGATCCCCCAAACAAATAGCACACTAACTGCTCCTGGCAGGAAGATCAACCAGCACATAATAAAAATAAGCATCAAAGGGATATTCAGGGTGAATCCAATGAACTTTCTACTGCCTTCATATTAGAAGAACAAGAGAAAGCCGTAAGATGTAGGAATGGCAAAGCAGCAGCACTTTATATCTGAACTGAGCAAATTAAATATTTTGGATGAAACACACAGGAATAGCTTGTTCAAATCTTTAATAACTGCTAGATAAGCAAACAAGATTTTTTTTATTTTAATATTTTTAATTATTTTAATGTTTTAATTTGTTTTTAATTTACCTGTATTTCCTCTGCATTCATAATTTTAGTTTGTGCAATGCTGTAATGGAAATAAATAAATAAGTACGAATTTTAACCTTGAGCTCTAGATCACTGGTTCCCAACCTTGGGTTACCTAGTTGTTCTTGGACTGCAACTCCCAGAATCCCCAGCCAGCAGAGCTGATGGTGAAGGCTTCTGGGAATTGCTGTCCAAGAACACCCGATTTCCCAAGATTGGGAACCAGTGATTTAGATCACTGGTTCTTAACCATTGTTACTCAGATGTTTTTGGACTGCAACTCCCAGAAACCTCAGTCAGCAAAGCTGATGGTGAAAGGCTTCTGGGAGTTGCAGTCCAAAAACATCTGAGTAACAATGGTTAAGAACCAGTGATTTAGATGACTATGATCAAGTATAAAATAAGTTTAATATGGTATGAAAAATGA